ATTTAATGATTTTTTTTTTAAGAGGAATGAAGCTGATGCAGATCTTGGTCTCATGTTATTTGGTGTTATATTCATGTGTACTTGTAGCTCAAAGTCACACACTAGCACTAGCATACGACAACTGCATCCATATTTAAATAGTTTTATTCCAAAAGGAGATAAATCAACTTTGGGTACTTCTGAGTAAATCACCTTTGTTATTACTCCACTTTCCCTTTAGCCATGTACATTCATGTTGTTGTATATGTTAATGGAGTCACCCTAGACCAAATATATGATAAGAAAACATTTACCAGTTAATTCTGATTTTTTTTTTTTTTTTTTTTTTTTTTTTTTTTTTTTTTTTTTTTTTTAATCCAGTGGATTTAGCTCCTTTTGGAATGAAACATGGATTTAGCTCATTTGGGAATGAAACGGTTTTAGCTCCTTTTGTAATAAAAACTATCATTTGTTGTCTACTTTTTTAAAACGTTTTTTAATGGTGATTTCACTATTATTTAAAAGGAAAGGTTTGCTACTATAAAATTTGAACAAGTTTCAGTGACTTTATTGAAGAAAGGGAAAATATTTTATACACACATTATCCTACACGCAACCTGTTAACTTTTGAGAATATTCTCTCTCACCATTTTTTCAGCACAAAGACCATTTCGTGCAGTCCTTAAAGAAATGAAATAATAAATATACAGAAATATTATGATTCACATTTTTCATTTGAGAACCAATAATCATCATTACTCAAAGAGTAAAAAGCACTATCAGAGTTTAAACAAAATCAAAACTGCTTTGAGAGTCGATATACAGTGACTTCTTTGCTCTTCTTCGAAAATGGATAAATTCATTTTAGTTGCACCAGGCAAGTATTACAAAAAAATATGAATGATGTTTCCTATACAATCAATTTTGCAACCTTCTTTTAGATTGTAACTAGGAGCTTGAAACCTTCAAGTTTAAACCTGCAATTCAAAATCATGTCATACTTCATGTCACATTACACGGAAATGTGTCATATAGTCATTTTACAAATCTTATTAGTCCAGGGGTGGTTAAACTGGTTCTGTTAAACTTCAGATAAAAATGAACTGAAATAATAATTCAACATAAATTAAAATGTTCAAGTACAATATAGAAAAATTCGAATTACTCACACAGAGCTGCCCACAATTGAAGGTTCTACTGAAGATTCATAAATTAATAATGCGAGATTCATCCCATCCTTTACATGAGCTTTTTAAGTTCAACCGTTCAGGTATACGTCTAACAGTGCCCAAAACAATACGATGTAGATTCAGACAATTTTTTGTTCCAAATGCCATACACATTTTCAACAATTCTGTAAAACGATGATTTTCTAATTGAGTGTATGTAACGTGTGGATGGTTTGGGTGCATGCATGGAGCCAGGTCATAATCTTTTCTCCTTTTCTGTCCTCTCTAACTCTACCTGAAGCATTGTTTTGGGTGTGCACCTAATTATTCTACCACTTTCTTTTCTTCTTATTTATTTCCTTATCTATCTCCTTTCCTCTATCTCTATTGTATTCATGTACCTGACTTCATGCATGCCTGCACACACACACATGCATACATGTAAATTGGTATGTTATGCTCTGATCACAGCTCTGGTTTTTTGCATGTCTTGTCATGTAAAGCAGAGTCATTTTCATGATAACCATTTTTCGAACAGTTGATGTCTTTTGCCATGCTTTTTTGATCAATTTTTTAATCAATTTTTTAATCAATGTCAATATTTCAAATGTCAGTATTAAGTGCAATAATGTAACCTATAACAGTAAATGTCTTTCAACTCAACAAATATGTATATTTGAGAAGAACTGTCTTTTATGATAGTGTTAAAATGCCTTTCACTCCGTCCATAATGATGCGAAACAGTAATCTTTTAAACTTTTAATGGATGAACAACTTATCTTGAGTGCGTGCATGAATGTCAGCTGCTATGTTCTTTCTCCCTCCCTCTTCCCTCCTTTCACTTGAAGCTTTGTTTTAGGTGTGCATCTCTCCCTTTTCTACCACTTTTTCTTATTTCTCCCCTCTCTTCTACACTGCATCTCTTTGTATACATGTACCAGACTTCGTGCACGCCCTCTTACATGTTTTTAGTATGTTATGGCCGCTGTCCCATGACACATGTATATGTATATGTAAATGTGAAATGGCTAAGGCTAGGTTCCTTATTGGACACTTTTTATATTCTAACTTTCTACTGCACAGGGTCTATCTCTAGCTTGCAGCTCTGAATTTCGAATTTTCGAATGTTGACGACTCATTTGTCTTTTTTTACCACGGGCAGTCACTGTTCTTGATATCCTGTACTCTACCTCTACCTCATCTCTTCCCTCCCAGAGCTCCTCGTTTTCTGTCACCTTCTCTTTTCTCCCTCCTTCTCTTTCTCCCTCACATTTCCTTTCTGTTCTACTCCACTCGACTCCTCTCTCTCTCTCTCTCATTTATTCTTTTCTTTCTCTCCTCATACCCCTTTTCTGGGAGAGAAGGGGTGAATGTTTTCAGAGCACTTTTAAATTCATTTATTCAATGCATTCTGTGCATTATCGAGATTCATTTTTAAATGCCAGTTTTCAAGTTTACATGTCAGCTTTGTTAATGCTATTATTGCTATTACTATTATTGTTATTATTATTATTGTTGTATTTTCTTTGTATCCTCGAATGTATTTATATATTGTTTATGTTGTTTGTATATGTACGTCACTCGCCAGTGGAGGACGAATTTCTGTATTTTTTTAAATCAGAATATAAATTATCTTGAATCTTGAATCTTGAAAACAGAGAACACAAACAAAGGAAATATGTCTACACCTATACCAGAATTATACAAAGTTACTCAATATAAATAAATTGGGAAAACTGCAAATAAAACCTGTCGAGGCATTCTCTGTTATTAAAAGATACATGCAGATTACAACTATTATCTATAAAAGATATAGCAATAGAAAAACAGTGTACACAACATAATAGAAATTAACATCCATAGAGTATTATTGATTCAAAAACAGATGAAGTATTTTTCAATATTTTATTTAAAGAGTTGAAGAAAGTCGAATGTCGGATACCTCTGGGGAGAGAATTCCAATTTTGGGGGCCAGTGTGTCCAAAAGTTTGTGAAAAGAGCGACAATTGCTCTACAAAACAAATCTGCCACAAACTTTAGAAATATGTGAAAGGAAGAGATGAGATGGTACTCGCTCGTTTTATATTATGAACAGAAATTTATTTTTCGCTTAGAGAATGTACTAATGAAGATAAAGGGTCATTGCTAAATCTATAATAATAATAATAATAACATAATAATAACAACATTTATAATGCGCACATATCCACCCCAAGAGATGCTCAAGGCGCCTAACAATGTAAATACATTAAACTTAAGAAAGTACATGAGAAGTTACAGAGAACGAACATAATTTAACATAATTAAATATAATTCAACAACGTTAATTACATCAGATTGTGAAATAAACTACGTCTTAACTAAAGAATTCAGACATTAGATAGGTTTTCAAGTTTTTTGGAACAAATTTTGATTGGCTGACATTTTGATTGAATGGGGTAGGGAAATCCATAACCACGGTGCAGCAGCTATAAAAACTCTGTCACCCCAACTCCTCTTTGTTCTTAATTGTATTAACATTGTTGAATTGGAGAAACGAGATCTGCACGAGAACTTGAAGAGATATTAAGAAGAGAGGAAATATATTCAGGGACAGATCCATTTAGTGAACGGTAGGTGAGTAGTATAATTGTATATTTGATACGCTGTTCTATTGGAAGCCAGTGAAGGTTCTTGAGTATTTGAGTAGTATGGGTCGAACGTTTAGATTTAGTGACAAGGCGGGCAGCTGCGTTTTTAACCTTTTGTAGTCTGTGAATTTGGTGTTTAGGAAGTCCATAAAGGAGAGAGTTACAGTTATCGAGATGAGATGTTACAAAAGCATGCTTCAATTGTTGACTGGTCTGGGGGTTAAAAATTTCCTATTAATCTTTAGCAAGTGTCTCAGTCAGTAAAATGAAATATTGCTTCGGACCACGATTTACGTCATTAAACAAAAATATATTGACCTGCCAGTGTCACACATATTAGGTATCCAAATATGCTCATCTGACCGTAATTAACTCTCTGCTCTACCTGATCGTAAATACTTAAGCCCCCCCCCCCCCACACACACACACACACTTTGATAAACGTTCTGCGGGGTCTGTCATACAATGCAAGTAAGGGGAGTCATCCATTTGTTTCAGTCGAATATATAGAGTCTATCAGGAGTGCAGAAAGCGATCTCTCCTGTTCGGTACTGCTGGAGATAGTACCACTCACTCGTATGCTCCTCAATCTTGTAATCAATAACGAAGTTCTGGACATGCTTCAGCTCCTTAGTGTACTCATCAATGCTGACCAAACCTACATCGCGTTTCATGGTGGCTATCAGGATTGTATTCCCCTGAGACACAGCAGCGGTTACTAGGTAACCCCCTAACTTCGCTAATCTATATTTAACAACACCTTGTTTGTCAAGCAATCGTATTGTATCATCAGATACGGTGATCAGGTGATCTTTAAAACTAGTAATCTGCCAAGGTTCATACCCATCGCATGGTATCTCCCTGATCGCCTTCCCACCTGCTGGTGAGAATACATGGATCTTCTGGGCTTCCATGTAAGTCAGATAGATCTGATCATCGCTGTCTACAGAGAGGTCAGCAAACCCCCCTTCATCGTGACTCAGAGTCTCAAACATTACATTCAATTGTGTGTACTCTGGTGTGTACAGTGTGATATTGTTTGAGTTATCAAGTATAACATACCGATCATCAGAGAGGAACCCTACTCCACGAATCCTAACATGTTTGAGAAATGTCTGCTGGAGCTGGCCATCAGCAGAGAAGATTTCCACGCCACCTGTCCAACATCCCACTGCCATCCTACCATCAGGTGTACCAACCATGGCATTCATGCTTTCCTTAGTAGGCAAATCAATGTTCTTTGCAACTGCATTTACGATCTTACCGAGAGCTATCTCATCCATTTTAACGTTCCTCTTAAAACTGACACTTTTTCCTTTCTTGCTCGATTTCATCGCCTGCTTGTAGTCAGGATCTTCTTGTTTCAAGGCCTCCTGTAAGTCCTGACATAGAGTGTAGTGTGCAGCCAAAGCATCCATATCTAACGGTACCTTTGTCCTATTGGTTACCACGTCAGCTATGGTGGTCAAGTGTGTGATGTGCTCTACAATCGGCTTCTTCATTTCGTTCAGTTCTTTCTCTACACGTTCGGTCCTACCCTTCACTTCACCAATGAGGATTTCTTTCTTCTTTGTCAACTGCCGGACTGATTCTTCAAATGCTTTTTTGATATCATCTGTACACTTTTCTGAACATTGCGCACGTGGTCTTTCTGTTCATCAATGAAGTCAACGTATTTCTGAAAGCAAGTTCGTTTCTTGTGCGCCTTGGATTTGAGGTCCTCGATACTCTTCATATGGCTGCTTTCATAAACAGCCGCCTCGATGACCCCATGTCCTTCCTTTGTATGCTCCATGACAACACACCTGAAGCAGGCAAATCTCCTGCAATCGGAACAGAAGCACTCCTCATCCTCTTTGGGGTGTTTCCTGCATTTGCGGTACCTACGTACTGTTACCTTTCCTGATTCGATCTCACTCATGGCTAAGACCTCATGACCGATGAAGTCTTGCCACAGAGAATGTGCGTTGTGACAAGTGATACAGAGATATTTGCCACAGTCTTGACAGTAGACAACAGCTTGGGGTTTTTCCTCGGAATTACAATTCGAGCAAAGCTGGTATTGATTATTCATGTCTTCTATGAGAGACTTCAAAGCTAGACTTGCCGGTAATTTGCTGACTTCTTGGTTTGGGATCTGGGTTTCAGCTCTGCATACAGGGCATCGGAGCATCTGGTTGTACCCATGGCATTCCAAGAGGTTGTCCAGACAGGCCTTGCAGTAGGTGTGAGAACAAGACAGGATTTTGGGATCGGTGAAGGTATTCAGACATACAGGACACTCCAGACTCTGAGCAATAACATTCTTTAATGCTTCAGCCATGATTCGAATTCTACCGGATTACAAGGGAAAAAAGAAGAGGAAAAAACATAACTATAAGCTAGTGTAGCTAATTTGATATGCATATCGATACAATTTGAATATATTTGAATTTCGACCCCTGTTTGACCTTTATTGGCCCCTCACGAAAATGCCCGGGATTTTCAAAGGGGCAGCCCAAGTCAAAATTGTTCGGTATTCATCACGGAACACAAAATACTTTCAATCCTTTGTTCCCAGAGATTGGTCACGGGACCTACAGGCTGGTCTCCTACTAAAATGTTAGCTATATTTATAATCACATAATAACCTGAAATATTTCTCATATGTATTCATATATACATAACATGCAATAATAATTTAGTTATTCTAACGTGATCACAACAACATACCGAAATCGATAATTTTGCCCAGGCCAACAAACATTGAGAAGTTATACTTTTGAACGATATTAATGTGATCACGAGTTTTCAAATGCGACAAACATTACTTCCGGGTTCACGATCAACAGAATAAACTCTAGATCTTATGGTCTGTTTCAAAGCTCTGTTTCGTTTAGTGTCATTTTTGCCGCCTGTTTCTTCGTGGTTTACCAAACTGACATCATTTCCTAAACACCCGTCATTCCCATCTTGGTCTTAACTCAATCGATCTCCATTAATCACCTCAAAGACATATAAACCAATATCCAAGTATTTCAGTCTAAGGACAAACATGACTTTATATCTGGTCTGGGTCTGGGTGTTTGTGTTAGATAGTGACATGTATATACGACAATGTAAAACGGAAATATTGCAAAATATCGCTGCATTTCTTTTTAAGTTGGAAATGATATACATTTAAATTTACTCACGTCTTTTTCCGTCACTATATGTATCGGTCTAGGTGTGATATGAAATTAGTAAACATGTAAACTCTTTGTCTTTACGATGTAGTGGTGCATTGATCATAAGTGGTTGTGTATACAAGTCATGTATGTGTTTCATTTGTCGATCTATTTTTGGTACTGGGAATTTCCAGCAACCTTTGACATACAGTTGGAATGTCGAAGATGGCGCTATACAATCATGCAAACCAGTGCCATTGATTAATAGATGGCTTTGATGCAAAACACATCCGGTCGCGAAGGAGAAAATAAACGAAGATATTCGATCTTAGACCTTTACCTTCACTGGACTAACCATCGTCTGGTTGAGAAAGCTAAGAAGTTGTTTGGTTTATCATAGTTTCGGGTTGTGTAGGAACTATTATGCCCTAATGTCTTAGGCATACAAGACATAGGGCGGAGGGGGCTGCGCCTCCCTCCCTTCCCTCGAATTTTGAAATTGTAAATAACATTGGCCGGGGATGCCAGTTTTCAGACAATACCCTGATTGCAGGCCCTTGCAAGTTAATTTCAAACGTATAGTTTAGGCTTTTTTGTGTACAAAAAAGCTCATTCTAGGTGATTTTCAGGCCCTCTGATCAACTCTAACTGGCATCCTTGACATAGACTATTCGGACACTTATAACCGCATCCTGATTATTACAGATGCTTAATATTAAAAACAAGCCAACTATTCTTTTAATATAATCTCTATATCTTTTTTTTTAAAATTAGTTTTCATTTCACCAAAATAGTGTGAAAAAATGTACATACATAATAATAAACGCATGTTAAGGTTTAATGATCGTACCAAAGAGGAGTTTATCATTTTCCTCACGCCTTTCCCCTACAGAATATAACGCGCACAAAATATGATAATCCGTTGTATCTTGATAACAATAATTCATGTTATTTATCAATTGAATTTTGTAATGACGTTATACATGAACGATATCATTATGATAAGAAGTTTTCTAACGCGACAAACGTTACTCCCGAGGTCACGATTAAGAATATAAAGTGGTTGGATCCCCAGATTTCTACAAGAATTTTCAAAACATATGTGTTTGAAGACAAAATTAATATTGATAAAAGAATACATCATTTTAGGATTTCTGTTGCAGAAATGTGTTTTAAATGACATCCTTTTTCACATTAAGCGATATAAGTGAAATTTTGAAATCACATTTTTGGCGAATTTGGGGCTTCCAACAGATAAGAGGGGCTTTAAAGTCTTATGGTTCTGTTTCAAAAATCTGTTTTTTGTTTGTTTTGCAGATTGTTTCTTCATTGTTTAACAAACTAGCTTATATCATTTTTTAAACACCCGTCATTTTCTTCTTGGTCTTAGCTCAATCGCTCCCCATTTATTACCTCAAAGACATCTAGACCCAGACCCAACTATTTCAGTCTAAGAAAAATGATTATTTTATGAACCAGATCCAAGCATCAGCCATAGACGAAAGACTTCATGCATGGCTGGTTGTTAACGAAACGGAGTTAAGTCTTTTGTCAATTCCGTTTGTTGCTACGGCAGGCAGCCAGTGAAAACGAATTCGTTTTCTAAGGTTATGGAAATGCAAGCAATACTTTAAACAAACAGAACTTTGTTATTCCTTGCTCATTTTTCCTGATTGAGGTGTCATATGAAAGGGCAGAAACTGAACTTTTTAGAAATGTGATTTTGTCTTAAAAATTCAGATACCGTCCGCTAAATAAATTTTTGGTTTACTCTCTTTAAGCTTTACAAACATGTGTCATTTATTAATTATAATTGTGAGTTAGTTATGGTGAAACATATCGATGATTCTTGGTTTCGTTTTTTTATCTGGGACGCACTGTATAAGACAATATAAAACAAACATTTTGAAAAATGTCAGTGGATTTATTTTGGAAACGACAAGGACATTTATAATAAACTCACCTTTTTTTCCATCATTACATATCAGTCTATAGGAGTTCATCAAATTCAATTCAATTCAATTCGATTTTATTTCTCATTCCAACAAAACATGACAAATCAATTATAATCATTTACAACAATTAAGAAATACATATTGGAAGCAGAGGAAACAAATCAGAAAACATGTATACTCTTTGCCTTTACAATGTCTATTTTTAATGACTGGGAATTCCCACCAACCTTTGACACGGACAAGCAAATTGAGATTGCCCTCGTTCTCAGTTTGTATGGAGCAAATGACATGCTCTGCCCCCCCCCCCCCTTCCCCAATCACACACACACACACATAGACACACACAATACACAATCTTCTAAATTACGTTAATGCCGAGCTGAGATTCGAACCATGACCTCTTGGATAGAGAGTCAGAGGAATGAACCCCTTTAGTATACCTCCACTATTTAGAAGATTCCGTAACTACGTATCGGCTTAGGCGTTACATGATATCAGCAAACATTTATAGACTCTTTGCCGTTATGATGTAGTAGTGCACTAATCATAATTAGTACCATATATATATATTTATGTATTTAGTTCCCATGAACCTTTGACAGACAAGCAGAATGAGGTTTTAATCGCCCTAAAAGTGACCCCATAATAAAAACTCGATCTCATTTTGTCAAGCGCCTGTAGAGCAAATATATGCCCGTGTCAAACTTGAATTCTATTTCTGTTACTCCCCCCACCCCGCTCCCTATTTACAAAAACATTATCAAGTTAGCTCGGGGAGCTACGTTACGATACATTGCTGGGGGTCGTTCCACAACCCCCCCCCCCCCCGGAAAATTTGAAAGGTGCACACACAAAAATGTATAGCAAATACTGACTAAAGACTGCACCACACGTTTAGGATCTGGAGGGCTCAAGAGTGCAGCGTTAAGACTAATAAACATACAAGAATCTTCTTGCTCGGTGGCTACGCCCCCTCGCAAAGTATCCTTCGAAATGTACAAGTAAATATTGTAGAAAATCTGTGTTCCGTTGGTATCACGTAAGCACAGTTTACACTGTCTCTTTACAAGATAAAGAGTTAAAGAAAAAGATCAGTGCTACAAAAAAGATATATTCCGCTTGCTCTTTTAATAGAAGTCCCTTCATGCCTACTTCAAGCTGAAATTGACCTAATAAATATTGACAACCATTCGGACTGCGCACTAAATACCGGCAAAGTAAGAGTGAAGTGTGAACAAAGTATAATTGCTTGTTTTTATTCCATTGTTTTTTTTTTATAAAGAATGTAATTTTTCAATAGAACAAAACTTCAAAAACCTGTGAGGGGCTAGCATAGAACTTTGCAATAAGACTTATTATATAGCTCTATGGAGGTTATTCACTTCCGTTACATTCGTGCCTCCCACTGGCGTACTGAGAGGGGGGAGGGACTTGAGGTGAATAGCCCCAAAATAAAATTCAAACGTGGTTTATTTCTAATTTGAAACCAGTGTTTTACACATTTTGCTGAAATGGCATGATTTTTCCCTGAGATCCCGAGGGGTGGGCCCCTGGTTGCTCATCTGGCCTTATTAAATGCCTAAAACCTTTCAGCTTCTACGGGCTCCGTCCCCTGGACCTCACTCCACTCAGTGACCTGCCAGTGTCACAAATAAGGTATCAAAATATGCTCATCTAACCGTAATAAAATGCCTAAAACCCCTGAGCTTCCGGGTGCGGGCCCTAAGGCGGCCCTTATATGCTCATCTGACCGTAATTACATGCCTGAAACCCCTGAGCTTCATGGGGCTTCACCCCTTGACTCCCGCCGGGGCTTTGCCCCTGGACCCCACGCCAATTTACACTCCACTTGCTTCGCTCGCTTTACTCTGCTTGATCGTAAATACTTAAGCCCCCCACTTTGAAAAATGTTCAGCGAGGCCTGCATGTATAACATGTAAGAGTGGTGGCGATGCGGATTTGTTTCTTTCTCCTCCCCAACGTTTTTGTTCATTAATACGCCACTGGCTCCTATCATTCACTATGCTCCCTCGTCCCTCGCATTTCGCCTACCCCCCCCCCCCCCGGTCATGAAAAGAAATCACCGCCCCTGATACATGGTGCGCTCTTACCTAACTCTCGTGTTTTCAGTTCATTCAATTTCAATTCAATTCAAATTTATTGGTCCAAAAATAAATTCGTTGCTCTTTAATACATGCATTATTCACAGAGAAAAATAACTAAACTATACATGTGACATGTATAACATAACACGAGTATATAGAGAGAATAGCCATATAGCACTTTAACATTCACATTATATAGATATTTTCTCTGAATTTACATGCAATGTTTGTTCATTTATCGAGAGTAATTACAAACACAATGTAACATTGTAATTATCATTATTATTATTATTTTCAATATTAAATCATTAGTATTTTTATTATAATTGTTGTTGTTAATATTATTATAAGTTTGGCTCATTATATCATTATAATAACAAAATTGTTATTTGGTGAACAATAAACACCAAAGATGTTAACAATAAAAAAAGAATTATCATAATTATTTTCTTTATGGTGGAAAAATAACCATGTATATATCCTAGTACAGTGTAAGTTACAAATAATGTTCATATATTCTGGGGGAATGCAATACGCTATTCTAATATAGATCCACAACAATTAGTGTCCCTATAAATGAAAGCTAAATATGAGAGCAGTATGTATGCAATATTAATACCTATATTGACGGCAGTATGAAATAATCATTAATAAACATGATGCAATATATTATGATATGTGATTATTTAATACAAGAGATACTTTTTCATTTCATTTGAGAAAAGATGGCTTTTATAAGAAATCAAATATAATTGTCCTATAATAAATACAAATAATATGTTAATAATTTCTTACAATCAAACAGAAAATAATATAATACGAATCATATATTTTACGTTTTACATTTCATTTAACAGACGGATAGAGCACGGAACATAAGAGTTCAGGTACCTCAAGGTGCGGGAGTTATTCGACTGCCACCTTTTACCACTTCTTAGCCTGACATAATTTTCATTCAGGGGGTGACTTGAATCCCTTGAATGCCTTTAGGTACTTATATCAATGATGGTATTAGTCCACAGGCAAATATTGAGGCTCCCAACCAAGTGCGAGACCACATTCACCTAAAAGCGCGATTTAGCGAACCTAATTCAGCAAAAAAAAACTTTAAAATAGCGAATGTGAGAAGCAAAAACACGGAGGCATCATTGTCAAGCATGTCGGCAAAGCTTTTAAAATCGGCAGTTTGTTGATTCATAAAATTATTTCCGTAAAAGTGATCGTAAAAGCCTAATTTGTTCAGAAAAAACACAATTTTATCCAGAATCTGGCTGAAATTAACTCTCCACTTAGTTATACAGGTGCGCAAAAGACGAACGTCAAAATGTTGGTTTGGATTTGGATTTTTCCTTCCTCAATCTGCGCATGAAATATATGCAAATTATAGCGAACAAAATTAGTCTCATGCACATCGTTTATTAGTGTAACAGATGGGTCGTTATTGCTACATTATATGAACAGATCGGATAGATGTGAAAATCATTTAAATGATAATCAGTATACGATGCGAAAATTATTCTTCTACAGCTTCCGGAAACCGACCTGGATTTTTGCTTGCGTCCCTTACTTTTGCCAAATTTGTGCGTGAGATTTTGTTTTTGGTGATTCCGGGCGCAAAAACGAAACTTAGCGCGACCCGTGTCTATAATATATTGCTCTACAAAACAAATCTCTCACAAACTTTAGAAATATGAGAGAGGAAGAAAAAACTACGGTACTCGCTTTCATTATATTTTAAACCGAAATGTATTTTTCACCTACAAAACGCTCTACCTGATCGTAAACGTTCCACGGGGCATGTCATACAGTGCAAGTAAGAGAGAGTCATCCATTTGTTTCAGTGGAATATATAGAGTCTATCAGGAGTGCAGAAAGCGATCTCTCCAGATCGGTACTGCTGGAGCTGGTGCCAATATATCCCGTGTCTTTCAATCTTGTAATCAATGACGAGGTTCTGGACATGCTTCAGCTCGTTAGTGTACTCATCGATGTTGACCAAACTTTCATATTGTTTCTGAGTGGCTATCAGGATTGTATTCCTTTGAGACACAACAGCGATTAGGTAATTCCCGAATTTCGCCAATTCATATTTTACAACACCTTGTTTGTCAATCAATCGTATTTTATAATAAGAATTGGAGATCAGGTGATCGTTACAGTTAGTGATCTGCCCAGGTTGATACCCATCACATGGTATCTCACTGATTGCCTTTCCACCTGCTGGTGAGAATACCTGGATCTTTCGAATTTCCCAGTAGCTAACATAGATCTGATCATCACCGTCTACAGTTAGGCTAGCACTTGCACATTCATCGCGACTCAGAGTCTCAAACATTACATTCAATTGTGTGTACTCTAGTGTGTAGAGTGTGATATTGTTTGAGACATCAAGTATAACATACCGATCATCAGAGAGGAACCCTACTCCACGAATCTTCACTTCTTGGAGAAACGTCTGCTGGAGCTGGCCATCAGCAGAGAAGATCTCCACGCCCCCTGTCTTACATCCCACTGCCATTCTACCGTCTGGTGTACCAACCAAGTCACTCATGCTATTCTTAGTAGGCAAAATAGTGATGTTCTTTGTAACTGCATTTACGATATTACCGAGAGCTATCTCATCCATTCCAACGTTCCCCTTAAAACTGACACTTTTTCCTTTCTTGCTCGATTTCATCGCCTGCTTGTAGTCAGGATCTTCTTGTTTCAAGGCCTCATGTAAGTCTTGACATAGAGTGTCGTGTGCAGCCAAAGCATCCATATCTGACGGTACTTTTGTCCTATTGGTTACCACGTCAGCTATGATGGTCAAGTGAGTGATTTGCTCCAGAGCTGATTTCTTCATTTCGTCCAATTCTTTCTCTACTCCTTCAGTCCTACCCTTGACTTCACCAACGAGGTTTTCTTTCTGCTCTGTCAGCTGTCGGACTGATTCTTCAAATGCTTTGTGGATATCATCTGTACACTGCTTTTGAACATTGATCACATGCTCCTTCTGTTCTTCAATGAAATCAACGTATTTCTGAAAGCAAGAACGTTTTTTGTCCGCCTTGGATTTGAGGTCCTCGATACTCTTCATATGGTTGCTTTCATAAACAGCCGCCTCGATGACCCGATGTCCTTCGTTTGTATGCTCCATGACAACACACCTGAAGCAGGCAAATCTCCTGCAGTCGGAACAGAAGCACTCCTCATCCTCTTTGGGGTGTTTCCTGCATTTACGATACCTACGTACTAACACCTTCCCTGATACGATCTCACTCATGGCTAAGACCTCATGACTAATGAAGTTTTGCCACTGAGAGTGTTTGTTTTGGCAAGTGATACAGAGATACATGCCACAGTCTTGACAGTAGACAACAGCTTGGGGTTTGTCCTCGGATTTACAATTCGTGCAAAACTGATATTGATTCTTAACGTCCTCTATGAGAGACTTCAAAGCTAGACTTGCCGGTAATTTGCTGACTTCTCGGTTTGGGACCTGTGTTTCAGCTCTGCAGACAGGGCATCGGAGCATCTGGTCGTTACCATGGCATTCCAAGAGGTTGTCCAGACAGGCCTTGCAGTAGGTGTGAGAACAAGACAGGATCTTTGGATCGGTGAAGGTATTCAGACATACAGGACACTCCAGACTCTGAGCAATAACATTCTTAAATGCATCAGCCATGATTCGAATTCTACAGGAATACGAGAGGAAAGAAAAGGAAACAACATAATGATAGCTAGTGGAGCTTTGATTCATCTGATCATGTATCGCAATTAGTCATGCTAGTATACATTGTTTAAATATCTGACGTATACAAGTTATAACTGCATCACTGAGTTAAAGCCCATGGTTAAAGGTAAACCATGAAAAAGAAAAACAAAATGTAAACATAAGTCTCAGAAATGTTGTTTACCATTCACATTTTAGTATTTTGTCATTGGAAAAACAATCATTACAATATTTCTTCATTAATCTGAAACCAAGTGTCATACCATGAGTCACAAAACTCACAATAGCAACGCATGTGCCGAGCGAAATAAACTTGCTTTTGGGATTTTATACCAAGAGTATCGCACGTGTGCTAATTATCTGTCTCGAGTATTCACCTGTGCCCTTTAGTACATAAGAGTACATAACACCAAGCATTACAAATTTCGTGAAATTTAAACGAAAAAATACATGATCCGTGATCTGCCTTCAGATATGATGCAAATAAACATAGGCCTTATTCTTAACATGGAGTCTAGGCTCTGAACAACTCTAAAACTCAGTAGACAACATTTTGTATTATATTTAAAGCTGATGAAGAATCAAAAGAAGTACGATAAACATGTACTTGCACACTGGAATATATTATTTAAAATAATTATCATGATTGTACAGAGGAAATTAAATTGCTCTGATTTTGCAGAATCATTATATGAAATGAATAATCTATGTTAAGATCGCATAATAGCCTGAAATATTTCCAATGTGTATTCATACATGTATCTACATTATACATAACCGTGCAAGAATAATACTTCGTGACACATGAATTATTCTAATCACAACGAAATCGCCACCCTTTTGCCCCCAGGATAAACAAACACTGAGAAGATATACATATATGAACGATATCACATAATCACGAGTTTTCTATTGCGTCAAACGTTACTTCCGGGTTCAAGATCAACAGAATAAACTCTAAAGTGTTGATCTGGTTGCATTTTGCAGCCTATTTCCCCATGGTTTACCAAACTGATATCATTTCCGAAACACCCGTCATTCCCATTTTGGTCTTAACTCAATCGCTCTCCATTAATCACCTCAAAGACATTTAAACCAATATCTAAGTATTTCAGTCTTAGGTCAAAGATGACTTTATATCCAGGTACAAACAAAGTGACATATGTATATACGACAATTTAAAACGGAAATATTGCAAAATATCACTGCATTTCTTTTCAAGTTGGAAATGATATACATTTAAATTTACTCACGTCTTTTTCCGTCACTTTGTATCGGTCTAGGTGTTATATGAAATCAGTAAACATGTATACTCTTCGCCTATACGATGTAGTGGTGCATACACTGATCATAACTATTATTTTATACATTTATGTATTTCGTTTGTCGATCTATTTTTGGTACTGGGAATTCCCAGCAACCTTTGACATACAGTTGGAATGTCGGAGATGGCGCTATACATGCAAACCATATCAGACTGGAAAGGAGAAGAGTAATGAAAGAAGATATTCGATCTTAGACCTTTATATCTTTACTGGACTAACCATCGTCTGGTTGAGAAAACTAAGAAGCTGTTCGATTAATCAAAGTTTCGGGTTGATTAGGGGCTACCATGCCTACACAAAAATTATATTATTATATAAAATTGCAAATTACAGGCACGTGCAACCGCCTCCCGATTCTGACAGGTGCGTAATATTGAAAGAAAGCCTATTATCCTACTTAAATATTTATATGTTATTTTGTCCCAGTGGCGGATCTAGGGGATGGGGCAAACAAATGGTAATAATAATAAGTACCCACTACACTGATAAACGAATACATAATTTGGGTTTTGTTGTAAAAATGTGTCTTAAAGTTTTGGGAATTCGGGGCTCCCAATACTTTGAAGGGGCTCAGACCATTGACGTCATTAAACAAAAATATAGCGACCTGCCAGTGTCACAAATAAGGCATCCAAATATGCTCATCTGACCGTAATTCATGGGCGTAAATCCTTATACGTAATACCTATTGTTCAGCTAGGGGGGGGGGGGGTGATCTATTCATTAAAACCCCTAAACTTTGCCCCTGGACCCCACGCCAATCTACTCTCCGATCTCTACCTGATCGTATATACTTTGGCCACCCCACTTTGAAAAACGTTCCGTGGGTCGTGTAATTAATATTTCTTTAGTTTATATTTTCTATGGCTGGTGATATTTGTTCGTCACCCGCTCAATTAGTTTTTGTTTTGGTGTTTGTCTCCCAAAAGTACCATAGACGTCAAGCTTGATCTTTCGTTTTCAGTTTTCTTGACGTTGTTTGCTCTATAAATAGATTATTAGAAGAAGCGTGTTGTAAATACTATCACAGATAACTAACCTAGTAAAGAGACAGAATCAAGGTGAGCGAATCTGAATTTAATAAACAAATATTCCCCTCCCAATTTTGAGAAATGGTAGACTCTAGATAACCTGACTTATCATCAGCCCCACATACTAATTTTTGTGTTCGTAACTGTAATTAGTATCTCCAAATAAGCTTGTACTTGTCTTTTTCTTCTTTGCTTCTGTGTACACCGATTCTACAATGCATTAAGTCTAACCGTAAACGTCGTTGTTCTAATCATTACTAGACTATAATGTTAAACTTAAAGATGTCAAATTTATTTGACATCCTGATCTAATACCCAGGATAGTCTACCTGCTAAATTGAAAGGTTTTAAAGAGAAGGTTGAGTTCTGGGAAGAGGTGAAAAATAATTTGTGAGCGTTATCTTTCTTCTTCTTCTTCTCCTTCTTTCTTTTTGAGTGTAGACCTCTTTACAGAGTATTATCGTACTATACTGGGGGTGTGTGCAGGTGGACCACTACACAGGGGTTTCCCCCTACTCTTATACGAATAGTGCAGTGGGTTCTTATCGTGCAAAGGTAGTGACTCTTCTCTACACGGGGCCTCCATTTAACGTCCTACCTGAGGGACGGAGTGTTTTCCACTTAACATATCCTGCGTCTTATTATGCAAGTGTTGAAGAACATCAGATAAGACATGTTCCCTAAAAAGCATGGCTCTTCAAATGCCTTCATATTCTCAATATGTCATGTAACATCGTAAAAATCCAGGGTAGGATTTTTACGCCTCGGTTCGTGTAGTCTCATATACATCTTTCTGTGTACAGTGTTCGTAACTTTACCAAGACTTGGCCAAATTTCTTATCATTTTGATGATTCTAGAACCTTGCAATACACACAAATTCTTATATGCTGATGATCAACCTTTTCTGGTCGATTCCACACCGTTTCCTTCACAATGCAATCGCATGACCAGAACTTCTGACTTTTGAGTTCTGGCAACAAATGGGTTTTAATTTCTTTAATCTTTATCAAGGCAGATCATTATTTTCTTGTCTCATCATTTTTTTTGATACAGGAACATCATTACGTGAGGATGGATTCGGAGGTGATGCGAGAAGGTCGTTTGCTGGACATCATCGATGACCAATGGAGGATGGACAAGCTTCCTAACGATGACATCGAGATACCTCCAAACCAGCTTCCAAATGATATGGATGGAGGGAAGGAAGAAGGAGGGAAGAAAGCAGAAGAGCGATGGACGGATCTTGCACTTCATAACCTCACAGCTTCACAAACTTCAAACCAGGGTAGCTGAGCATTTGTACATTCTCATGACGTGAAAGACAGTGAATGGGACTAAGATATGATTGAAGCCTAACAGACCATGAGCTGAAGGACTGATGTGACACTCATCACGCCAGAAACAGCGTGTGGGACTGAAAAATGTATTAGTAGGTTCTCTTTTAATCGCATAACAGACAAAGTTAGCTCAGCAGTTGAACTGAGACAAGGTCCTTGATATAAAAGACAGTGAATAGGATCAAGAAATTAATAGAGGAGTGTTGGATAGATCTTGCTCTTCAAACCTAGATACACGATACACGATGCAAGATACACGTAGCTGAAAGAATTGTAGTCCGATTTTACACTCATGACATGAAATGCAGTGCATGGGACTGGTAGATAATGGTGGGAGCAATAGAGAGATCATGTTCATTGTAACCAGCATGTAACTGTAACCAGACGGTGTTTGATCTTAATAACATGAAAGACATAGTGTGGGACTTATGCAGGCGTCCATTTGAAGCCTAGACCCACACTCCTCAAGTCATCACCTTTCTTCACCTGTTCCAACGTGCAGATTTACTAAATTATAAATGTTTAAAAAATGTATGACTCAGGAGGGTCTTTTCCTTTTAGATGATCTGTAATACTATGCTCACCGTAATATATAAGGACTATTGCCCCAAGGGAGAAGGCACTTGGGGGTAAAACAGAAATTAATTATGATTTTGTACATAACAAACGTGAGAGTTGTCTATGACTATGTCGCAATCCACTAACCAAATTGTTACTTTGAGATCCCCATAGCTATAGTGATCTCAATTTTCAAGCATTCACTACTTTCTTATAATTGGTCCAATTAATTCAACCTTTCACCGTTCTGTTTATCTTATTTCTGTTTTCATACGATTGAATGTATTAAAAAGGCTGGATTGCCCTTTAATTTGAACTAGATCCTTACTGTACTCAAAAGAGGTCATTGACATCTGTAATTTGTTGGATCTGATGGTATATCTTTGTATTTCAGAAATAATACAAAAAGTGATTTTGACAGGGATGTAGTGTAGACGTTATCATTCATAGAAAAGAAAAACAAATAAATAAATAATGATATCTAAACAGAGGGAGTAAATACTTATGGATTGTTGATAAATGTATGAATGTGTGCAAGACAGCAAGAGAGAGGAAGCATTAGCCTGATACCTCAGTCACACCGAATCCAAACCGACCAGTACTCCTCCATTCAGGGTGCATTAATTGTTCTGCTCTGGCAGTGTGCTGGTGTGACTGGGGTATTAGTGAGGAGAGAAGCTATAGAGGGGAAAGAAGGAGG